GATGCCAAGCGTACTGGCAGCACATTTGGCCTGAGCCGTTTCTGAGCTCCCTGGTGAGAAACAGCAGGATTTCCACCCAAAGCCCCAGCTTCGTGCAGCTGAAGCCTCGTGCCGGTGGCCCCGTGCAGAGCCCCGGCTCACGCCTGAGCCTTGAGGCCTTGCAAACTCATGTCACCTGCCACCGGAGCTTTCCCAGCGGCCGTGGGCGCTGCTGCTTCGTGCTCTTTTTTGCCTGTTACTGCCTTGCCCACGTCGCTTTCTCCCTGGGGTCTGCTGGTGGGAAGGGGGTTTCCCCCCCGCCTGGCCGACGTGGCAGGGATGTACAGGCATCGGCTCTGCCGCTCCTCTCCCCCTCCAGCTCTTCACTGATGGCATCACCAACAAGCTGGTGGCCTGCTACACGGACGAGGGCATGGCGGACGCGGTGCTGGTCCGTGTCTACGGCAGGAAGACGGAGCTGTTTGTGGACAGGGAGACGGAGCTGAGGAACTTCCAGGTGCTGCGTGCCCACGGCTGTGCCCCCGACCTCTACTGCGCCTTCCAGAATGGGCTCTGCTACCAGTTCCTGCCGGGCATCGCGCTGGGGCCCAGCCACGTGCGGGACCCCCACATCTTCAGGTGAGGAGATGCGGGATGGAGAGACCGGCGAGGGGCTTGCTGTGTGTTTCCAGCTCTCCCCCTTGCCGCCTTGCTCCAGACCGGTGCTCGGGCATTGCTGATGTGCACAGAGCTGATGCTGGGGGACAAATGGGCCAAACTTCAGCTGGGTTTATCACCAGGTTTTCAAACCATCAGCTTTTGGTGAATAGAGATTGCATGAGAACCACAGCTTTTATCTGAAGCTGCCCTGGAAGGGTGAATGCTGCTTCTGACCCGGAGAGGGTCTCGAAACGCTGCGGAGGCTCGCAGCTGAAGTGGAGGGGAGTTTCAGCTGTGCTGACCCTGCCTTTTTAAACGTGGCTTTCGGGGAACCCCTCTCGAAGTGTCTCAAGGCTGGTTTTGAGGAGCGCTGCTCCCGGGAATGCCGCTGCATGGCCGCCTCTCACCCACGTGTCCGTGTTTCCTTCCAGGCTGGTGGCCCAGGAGATGGCCCGGGTACACGCCATCCACGCCAACGGGAGCCTCCCCAAGCCCATCCTCTGGCAGAAGCTGCACAAATACCTCACCCTCGTGAAGACGGATCTCAGCCCAAAGGTACCCAACCCCAGGTAAAGGCAGAGGGATCCCAAAGAGCCTCTGGCTTGGGCATCCGCTGCCCACCCACCTCTGAGTCTTCCCTGTACGAGAGTGGGGGGACGAGCACCGGTTGCCAGGTAAAGAGGGGCCG